GCTCCCGATCAGAGGCCTTGATGCCGGATAAAGCTTATCGTCATACTCAAGACAAGCATTTATCAGGCGGTTCCACGCTCCTCAAAATCACAAATCACTCGATCAGAGGCCTTGATGTCGGATGTAGTTTATCATCTTAGAGAGGACTAGCAGTTATCAGATGATTCCAAGCTCCTCAAAACTTCCAGTCACCAGATCAGAGGCCTTGATGTCGGATGTAGTTTATCGTCATACCCAGGACTAGAAGTTAAGAGGTGGTTCCCTCTCCTCAAAAACTCCAAATTTCCGATCAGAGGCCTTGATGCCGGATAAAGTTTAACGTCATACAAGCATTTCTCAGGCGGTTCTACGCTCCTCAAAATCTCCAATCTCCAGATCAGATGCCATGATGCCGGATGTACTTTATCCTTTTAGTGAGTACTAGCAGTTATCATGTGCTTCCACGCTTACAAAATGTCCAATCTCCTGATCAGAGGCCTTGATGTCAGATGTAGTTTAACGCAATATCGACCAACAATCCCTCCAATAACTCGATCGATTTCGGATGTAGTGTATAGTCAATCCCGGGACTAGCAGATATAATGTGGTTCCACGGTCCTCATTATCTCCAATCTCCTGATCAGAGGCCTTGATGTCGGATGTAGTTCATCGTCACACCCAGGACTAGCAGTTATCAAGTGGTTCCACGCTCCTCAAAATTTCCAATCACTCGATCAGAGGCCTTGATGCCGGATGAAGTTTATCGTCATACCCAGGACTAGAAGTTATCAGGTGGTTCCACGCTCCTCAAAACCTCCATCCTTCCGATTAGAAACATTGATGCCGGATATAGTTCATTCTCTCAACCAGTACTAGCAGTTATGAGCTACCTCCACGATCTTCAAAATCTCGCGATCAGAGGCCTTCATGCCGGATGTACTTTATTGTCATACAGAGGACTAGGTGTTTCCACGCTCATCAAATCACCATCTACGGATCAGAGGCCTTTATTCGGATGTACTTGATAGCTAGAACTAGCAGAAATCAGATGGTTCCACGTTTCTCACAACCTCCATACTCCCGAGCAGAGACCTTGCTACCGGATGTAGTTTATCATCATACCCAGGACTATCAGTTATGAGGTGGTTCCACGCTTCTCAAAACTTTCAATCTTCCGATCAGACACATTGATGCCGCCTATAGTTTATCGTCATACCCAGGATTAGCAGTTATAAGGTGGTTCCACGTTCCTCAAAATCTCCAATCTACTGATCAGCGGCCTTGATGCCGGATATAGTTTATCGTCATACCCAGGACTATGTTGTCAGGTGTTTCCTCGCTCCTCAAAATCTCCAATCTTCCGATCAGAGACCTTAATGCCGGATATAGTTTATAGTCATACTAGCATTTTTTAGTTGGTTCCACGCTCCTGAAAACCACTAATCTCCCGATGAGAGGCCTTGACGTCGTATGTTGTTTATCGTCATATCTAGGACTAGCAGTTATAAGGTGGTGTTTACACTCTTCAAAGTCTCCAATCTCCCGATCGATGTTAAAAATGATAAAACCTTGAGTCTTTGTATGTTCGATGTTAAAAATGATAAAATCTTGAATGCTTGATTCCACATCAAACTCTACAATATAATCATCTATCTTTTCTCTATGCAAACAGACATTCGCCGATTTCCACTGGGCATCCAGGCGAAACCAGCTACTAAGGGTGTTTATTGGGGTGGGTACATAACTTGGGGGTGCAAAAGTACAACAGCGTCGAGAAATTGTGTTTAGCAATGATCGACGTTTCAAGTATTTGAGGGTCGAAAATGGATACAAATTTCTATATGAAAAAGTATTAATAACTATTGAATTAAAATAATTAATAATATTAACTCTCTCTCTCTCTCTCTCTCTCTCTCTCTCTCTCTCTCTCTCTCGTTTATTATCAATTATCGAGAAAAAATGTTTTACCGGCGTTTATTGGAAATGTCGTCAAACCAAACTCGGAAAAGATAAATCGTAGAAAGTAACGAAACTATTCTCGGGGACGAATACCTTTGCGTTCAACCATAGATAGATAGATAGATAGATAGATAGATAGATAGATAGATAGATAGATGTGAAGAGGCTGAAAGAGATAAATAGATAGATATGAAGAGACTAAGATAGATAGATAGATAGATAGATAGATAGATAGATAGATAGATATGAAGAGACTAAGATAGATAGATAGATAGATAGATAGATAGTGAATAGGCTAAATAACGAAACTATTCTCTCGGGGAGTGAATACCTTTGCTTACAATCGTACAGAACGTACGGAAGCATTCTTTTCATAAGAATGAAATTGTGCGTTTTTCTTTCCTATTTCTTTCTTTTAGCAGTGCGTGATTTATAGGGTACGCTAAAAGTCACGAAATCATGAAAGGATGACGGAGATTAAGTTTAAAATAAAATTCCGAGATTCTATTTATTTTTTTTATTTTTTTTACTGATGTTTTCTATACGTTTTTAATTGATAGAATCTGTCTCAATCTGAAAATAAAAAAAGAAATTAAAAAAATTGAATTTTTTAAGAATCCATTCGTAATGTAGATATTTCTTAAAATTACCTTCAAGTGGGAAATTGAAGAAAAGTGGAAAAGATTATATTGCCTTATATGAACAGACAGATAGATAGATAGATAGATAGATAGATAGATGTGAAGAGGTTGAAAGAGATAGATAGATAGATAGATAGATAGATAGATAGATAGATAGATAGTCTAATGAGTAATGATTCGGAATTGTTAATCAGAGAGTCGAGTTAAGCAACACAGAGACTGTTCAGTACCTAGATGGGTGACCGTTTAGAAATACCAGGTGCTAGATAGATAGATGTGAAGAGGCTAAATAGCAAGATAGATAGATAAAGAGAAAGAAAGAAACAAAAAAAAAACAGATTATATATATATATATATATATATAGAGAGAGAGAGAGAGAGAGATAATCAGCAGAATATGATAGATAGATAGATAATTTAAAATATATATCTGGTACTTTTAGTAATTATATATTACGCTTAAATTCGTAGAGTCTAAGTAACACAGAGGAAAGTTCATCATTATGACGACGGGTAAGTAACTGAAGCCGAGATGCCTGGTTAGGATCGACGATATTGCAGATTCTTCTTTGTTTTTCTAAATGTATAGCAGGAGCACCAAACAATATATGGCAACAATATTCATAGCATGAACGAATGAAGACTTATAAATATGTAAGATAGATTCTGGCGAGAAAGATTGTCTAGCACAACTCAGTGGACCAAATTTCCTTGCCGCTGACCTAGCAATGGATTCAATATAGCCTTTCCACTTGATGTCAACAGAAAATGTTACCTCGAGAAGGCGCAACGAGTCACTCTCTTGGAGGTTAGCATCAGCCATGATCGGGGAAGTCCTCGGTGAAAATTGGAACAGCTTAGGTGTAAGGATAGAGACATGGTAGACGCCTGCATTAATTCGAAAAGATCTAGAAGATTGGCCGTTCAAGACAACTTTCATTTCAGGAATTGGCAAAAAAGACTAAATCAGATATATGTTTAATAAGGATTTCAAAGCAATTTCTGTGACCTCAGATGTAAAAGGAGAAAAGATGCTGTCATTTCAAGATAGATAGATAGATAGATAGATAGATGAGTCGCTCTCTTGGAGGTTAGCATCAGCCATGATGATGGAAGGGAGAAAGCGTTCTCTCATACGATTAATAGAAATGATTCGTTTCGGAGGCATTACAATTAACAAGCGATTCTTTGCCCCAGTTAACAAAAGAATGTATCTCATTTTTTTTTAGATCGGCTTTCAAAGTAAGGAGTAAATAGTTGTATCATCAGCATATATACCAAACTGAGAACTGATACCATCAAGGAGGTCCCCGGTGAAAACTGGAAGAGCGTAGGTGTAAGGATATAGACATGGTAAACAATAATGCGAAAATATCTAGTTTGGCCGTTCAAGACAATTTCATTTCAGGAATTGATTAAAAAGGCTTAATCTGTTATATCTTTAATAAGGTTTTCAAAGTAATTTCTGTGTCCTCAGAAAAAAAGGAGAAAAGATGCTATTATTTCGAGAAACCCTTTTTAGCTTTCGTTCGCAACGTTGTATCGGCAGTCTATGGTTCGCGTATCCGAAGACGTATTTGGATTACCAGGCACGCATTCTAAAACCTGGGCAGAGTATTGCAAGACAGGAGGATTTTGGTAAAAAAAAAAAAAAATAGATACTGAGCTGCTACGTAGCATCTGTCTTCCTTTACGGCAGCGAATGTTGAACGGCCTCCTCAAAGATGAAGAAGAGACTCGAGGCAACAGTGATATGGTTCTACAGAAGGACGCTAAGGATATCATGGACCAAACCATATATGGCAACAATATTCATAGCATGAACTAATGATAGACTTATAAATATGTAAGATAGATTCTGGCGAGAAAGATTGTCTAGCACAACTCAGTGGACCAAATTTCCTTGCCGCTGGCCTAGCAATGGATTCAATATAGCCTTTTCACTTGATGTCAACAGAAAATGTTAGCCCGAGAAGGCGCAACGAGTCACTCTCTTGGAGGTTAGCATCAGCCATGATGTGGTGTGAGCAACGATTAATTTCTGAAGAGGATGCAAACAAGGAGGAAGCTTATCAGCATCAGGAACATCAGGATGAGGCAGCTGAGTTTTCTGATACACGTAACGAGAAAGGAGAGCCTGGAGTATCTGATACTCACAGGTCGAATAGAGTGACATAGAGATAAGAGAACGCAGCGCGTGACATACCTGGCGGGCTTGAGCGAGTGGATGAAGGAACATGTTCCGTGGAGGTAGCAGAGGCGCGAAACTGGAGAGCCATGAAAGGACACGGCACATAGAAAGAAAGAAGCTTGTCAAACTTTAAACGGCGATGACATAAGCTATCAGGTAGAGTTGTACAATAAACACATACACCAGAAATAGCCCACATATGGAAGCCTATAAATAGTACAAGGTATAATTACGGCCATATAGCGTTGAAACACCGGTTCCCGTACGATTACCGAAGTTAAGCAACGTCGAGTCAGTATCTGGATGGGTGACCAGTTGAAAATACCAGGTGGTGTAATGAATAATGCGGGTGGTGTAATTAATAATGTGGGTGGTGTAATGAATAATGATTCGGAATTGTTAATCAGAGAGTCGAGTTAAGCAACACAGAGACTGTTCAGTACCTATATGTGTGATCGTTCATGAATACCAGGTGCTGTAAGCTTGGATGTGCGGGTGGTGTAATGAATAATGATTCGGAATTGTAAATCAGAGAGTTGAGTTAAGCAACACAGAGACTGTTCAGTACCTAGATGGGTGACTGTTTGGGAATACCAAGTGCTGTAAGTTTGGATGTGCGGGTGGTGTAATGAATAATGGCTCGGAATTGTTAACCGGAGGCTGTGTTCCAATTTCAGTTGCGTTGGCTATATTCACTTACACGAAAATAACCTCGGGGAATATATGAACTTTTTTGAAAAGAAATAGATAATACATTTTTGAAAAAAATTACCAGCAATAAGAATCATATCTGCATTGAATAACCCATTGAGATTAATTATTTATAAAACATACATTTAAACATGCCAAACCAAACGTACCCCCAGCTATGGGTTAAGTAGTAAGGCCTGTATGTCTAAATAATTATTGTCTCAAAAAGTGTTCTTACATTCTAAAAATATTTTCTGGCTTTAAATAACCTGCAAAGGGTTGTTAAACCATAGAAAACAAATCAATCCAACAATGAAATACTGATTAGCTACACAGCTTTTAGATTTATTTACATTCTCGGGAATATAAATGTATAGAAACTACGGCGGCCGCAAAGTGAGGGATCAATTTATGTAGTGATTGTAATATAGAATTGATCCCCCACTTTATATGTACATTATAATTTTTTGTTGATAAGTTGTAGAAAACGAATCAAGCAATCAATGAAATACTGATTAGCTCCACAGGCAGGTCTTTTAGATTCATTTGGCCACAAAGTGAGGGATCAATTTATGTAGTGATTGTAATATGCAATTGATCTCCCACATTATATCTACATTAAAATTTCTTGTTCATCAAATTCTGATCAGGTATGAATACACTTTTCTCCCCCAGCTATGGGTTAACTAGCAAGACAAATCAATCTGAAAACATAAAAATATTTTTTTAAATTGAATTTCCTAATTTGCAGTGCTGGTAATATAGGAAAAGAGAGTTTTTATTTATATTTAATTATTTATATGTATTTTATTAATATTTTATTTATGAAATTTATTTATTTATAAAATGTAGTATTATTTATAAAATGTATCGTTATTTATAAAATATACATATTTTTTTTAAACATTTCTCCCCAAGCACGGCGGGAATACCACTAGTACGCAGGGGGTTAGGGTTAATGAAAATGAGAAAAAAGACTGGGTATAGGAAGGACTGAGGAAAGAATAAAAGATGAACGGGACTCAAGAAGAAAAAAGATGGCGATTGACGCTGCATTTAAATTTTTAAAGATTGTAGTTTTCAGGGAAGAAAGAGAATTTCACTATCGGTGAGTGATAGAAAAGAAACTGTTGGAATAGAATTGATGGTTGCATTTAGCCATTTCAGCAGTCAACGGGTGGGACCTAAATGCCAATCTAGTAGCATGCTTAAATCCGTGTAGTAGGGGCAGCAATAGAAAAAGGTCGTCAGAGAAGGACAAAAGAAGGGACGGGATTCAAAAAGATAGCGATTGACGTTGCATTTAAGTTTGTGAAGCTTGTTTTGTTTAGTTTAGTTTGGTTTGTTTTACGGTATATCAACACCTCAATGGGTTATTGTTGTGGTAGGATCCACCTAATTTGCATAGTGGAGTACCGACCATATAAATATGGTTGGTACCCGGAAGAGAGGGAGGAATCAAGAGATTCAACCAGAGACTCTGCCCGACTGCGACTCAGTCAACACATTCTCCAGGAACGGTCTTACCAGGAATATACAAAAGACTATATGTAAATATTGTGTACACTTTCTTGTTTCAATACATTTTGTTCTAAGTACATTTTGTGTTGCATTATTATTCCATGAATTAGTTAAGTTTCAACAGTTATTTAATGCCGACAAGATTGCTGGTGATATTTTTTTTCAAAAATTTATTGCTGGTAATATTTTTCTTTTTCAAAAATGTACTGCTAGTAATAATTTTTCAAAAAAAAAATATTGCTGATCTTAAAACCTATTTTTATTCTTTCATAGTGTTTTGACTCCTTTTGTGGGATTAAATATTTGCCCATAGCTGGGACCCTGACAGGTACTACCACCTTAGGTCAGGGTAAAACTGGGAAAACCAGCAATTGAGAAGTGGTTCCATGCTCCTCAAAACCTCCTGTTGAAAGGCCTTGCTGTCGGATGCAGTTTATCGTCTTACCCAGGACACTGTGAAGCTTAGAGTCACCAAAGAAGCAAGTAAACGGAAGAGAGTTCCACAGGCGGGAAGTGCGAGAAAAGAAACTGTTGGTGTAGAAGTGGTGGATGCATTTAGTTATTTCATCAGTAAACGGGTAGGACCGAGATGCCAATCAAGTGGCACGCTTAAAATCAAGCAGTCAAGTCACCAGGGGAGAAAGCTTGTCAGAACAGTTGCTTTGAAAATATTTGTAGAAAAGACAGAGGGAAGCCACGGTGAGAAAGTGACTGAAGTCGAGATGCCAGGTCAGGATCGATTACATTACAGATTTGATCACGAACCTTGAGATGAATAGAGGAGCACTAAAACAGATATGACAGCAGTATTCAATATGTACGGATGAATGTTAGATTTGTAAATGTGCAAGATTTATTTAAACAATTTATTATTTTATTTATAAAAAATATTTATATGTTACTTATAATGAATTTGCTTTATCTCTGATTAGTTTTTATTATTTTATTTATTATTTATATTTATTTTATTTTATATTTATTTTATTATATTTATTTATATTTATTTTATTTTATATTTATTTTATTATATTTATTTATATTTATTTTATTTTTATTTTAATATATTTATTTATATTTATTTTTATTTATATTTTATATTTATTATATTTATTAATATTATTTATTTTATATTTATTTTATTTTATATTTATTTTATTTATTATTTATTTATATTTATTTATTATTTATTTATTTTTATTTATTATTTTTATTAATTATTTCTTATTTTATCGATCTATTGACGTCGTTCATATACTTATAATAGATATGCTAATGATAGAATTGATAAGAGTAACCTTTGATGCGAGGAGGAACTATGAGACAGAAATCGTCAAAGAGAGAGAAATATATTAACAAGAAAGAAGAGAGAGAAATATTGAAACAGGGTGAAGGAGAGAGAGAAATACCAATGATTTGATGCGAAGAGAGATATAGAAAAAATGAGTAGGAGCGAGAGAGAGAGAGAGAGAGAGAGCGAGAGAGAGAGAGTGACAGCAATCCTCTTTTTAAGAACAATGGAAAGAGAGAGAGACAGATAGAGAGAGAAAGAAAGAAAGGTAGAGAATCACAGTGAAAAAGAGAGAAATATTAATGTTTTGATGAGTTTTTTTGAGATATAAAAACGTCGAAAAGAGAAAGAGAGAACAAACATGAGACAGAGAATAAATTAGAGAAGAGGAAGAGAGAAGTATTTTAATGTGAGGAAGATGTAGAAAAAGTCAGAGAGAGAGAGAGAGAGAGAGAGAGTGGAAGAACAATGAAAAGAGAGGAAAACAGGGAAATAAAGAGAAGAAGCGAGAAAGAAATAGTAATATTTTGATGTGAGGGGGAGAAAAAGAAAAAAGTCGGAAAGAGAGAATGAAACCCTATTGTTAAGAACAGTGGAGAGAGAGAGAGATAAAGTGGGAAAAAGTGGAGAGAGAGAGAGATAAAGTGGGAAAAAGGAAGAAGAAGAGAGAAAGATATAGTAATGATTCAATCCGAGGGGAGAAAAGAAAAATTTGAAAAGAGAGAATGAAATCCTATTGTTAAGAACAGTGGTGAGAGAGAGAGAGAGAGAAAGATGGAAGCAGAGAGAAGAACAGAGAAAGAAATAGTAATGTTTCGATGTGAGGGGGAGAAAAAGAAAAAGAGAAAACGAAATCCTATTGTTAAGAATAGTGAAGAGAGAATGAAAAAGAGGGAAAAAGAAAGACGACTAAGGGAAAGAAATGGTAATGTTTTGATGCGAGTGGAGAAAAAGAAATAGAAAAAAGGTGAAGAGAGAAAGCAGATTACCATTGTTAAGAACAATGAAGAAAAAGAAAAAGAGGGAAACAGAAAAGAAGAAAAGAAATAGTAATGTTTTGATGAGAGGGGAGAAAAAGAAAGAGTCGAAAAGAGAAAGCGAATTACCATTGTTAAGAACAATGAAGAAAGAGAAAAAGAGGGAAAGACAGAGAAGAAGCGAGAAAGAAATATTAATGTTTTTAGGCGAGTGGAGAAAAAGAAAAAGATGTAAAGAGAGAGTGAAATCCTATTGTTAGGAACAATGAAGAGAGAGAAAGAGAGAGACGAAGAGAGAAAGAAATAGTAATGTTTTTAGGCGAGTGGAGAAAAATAAATAATCGGAAAGAGAGAGTGAAATCCTATTGTTTAGATCAATGAAGAGAGAGAAAAACGGGAAACAAAGAGAAGAGGAGAGAAAGAAATAGTAATGTTTTTATGCGAGTGGAGAAAAAGAAAAAGAAATAGTCGGAAAGAGAGAGTGAAATCCTATTGTTTAGATCAATGAAGAGAGAGAAAAACGGGAAACAAAGAGAAGAGGAGAGAAAGAAATAATAATGTTTTGATGCGAGGAGAGAAAAGGAAAACGCCGGAAAGAAAGAGTGAAATCCTATTGCTACGAGCAATGAAGAGAGAGAAAAAGTAAGAAAGAGAGAGAAGAAGAGAGAAAGAAATAGTAATCTTTTGATGCGAGGGGAGATATAGAAAACGAAAAAGTCGGACGGAAAGTGAGAGAGAGAGAGAGAGAATTACTATTGTTAAGAACAATGAAGAGAAAGAATAAGAAAGTGAGAGGAAAGGAAAGAAAGAGAGTAACGGGAGAGATAAAAAAAAAAAGAAAAAGTCGGAAGAAAAGAGAAA